TGGGGGAAACTTTTCATATAATTAGTACTTCGACACATGTTGCGCTTCGAGGAAATTCCTCCGTCTGCTTACTTCCGTTGAACAAGGTAGAGGAATTATCAATTCTCAGCTGGTATATTAAAGAATTTAATATGTGGAAACATTTGAAAATTATGGAAAAAATGTCTTTTCTGAATAACAGTAAATTTTAGGTAAAGAAAACGCTCTGAATTGCATAATGTTTCGTATTTGGCATACTTTACGAGCTATTCTAATATTCGGAATAGAGGAAATTATTATTCAAATACAAGATTCCGCAATGTGACGAAAGGTGGTTGAGAGAATCTGCCCTACCTGGCATATCAAACAACTGTGGGAAAATTGTTAACCTTCTTTCTTAATTGCGAAGCTATATTTCAAGACTATTTACTTCATTTTCAAAGCGAAAGGAGACTCACCGTAAATTGAATTCATCCATAATTCTTCTTTCCATAAGATTACGGTTTAATCCAAGATTTCTCAACACTTGTAACGAAAATCGTCGATGATCCTGCCAAATTTGACCATTTGAGACAAACAAGCCTCGATCACCTGAACAAAGAACAACTTTTTGTGAAGCATGTGAGTGAATTAAGGCACGGTTGATTTACTTTAGCAGAAAAATAACAAGTTATTTAGTCATTTTTTGTAAAGACTTTTCTTGAATAGCCGTCTAATTTCCAAAGTATTCCGTCGGTGATATCCAAGCTTCAAAAACCTTGTAAAACACCTCTCCTCATTTTTTAATACCAAGAAACTTGAGATCACAATTTTGTCCAACTCTCATGATAGAGTTGGGCTTTAATTGGAGGAAAAACCCCTTAAGCATCTTAATACTGATTCGATTTTGTTCTAATGCCCACTATCCTTTCCCATCTGCTCGTTTTTCTGAATCATGTGGTCATAGAGCTGCCAAAGAAGCCAACCTCTTCCTTCGAGCATCATCGCTGGATTCCAACGATCCTGATATTTCGTCCCATAGCGAACCATAGCTTCTTGGCTCAAGGTGTAGTCGGCTATGTGAACCGTTGGAAGTGTACCAAACCAAAGCGTGAACACTGTTCCATATTTCTAAAATAAAACATCTTGAAAGTTCTTAGAATTCGCCTAATGGTAAAGAATTGAATGACGTAGGCGTATCTTAGTTACCTTCTTAATATGCTTGAACGCTGGGACAATGCCTCCGTATTTCCAAGAATAGAACGCAAGTTGTGGGATGTTTCCCAA